GCCTGCTTCTCCCTCTCCCACCCCCTGCTTGTGTTCCCTCTCTCGCTGTGTCTCTCTCTGTCAGATAAATAAAGAAAATCTTTAAAAAAATAAATAAATAAAATAAAAACCTTTTAGGTTTTGTAGCATTGAATGGATTTATGAAGTCCCGGAGAGGCAGTTTTGTACACTGGTTGAATATGGGCTCTGAAATCAGATCTATATTTGAATCTTAGCTCTGCCACTTACTAGTCACATGGTCTTGGGCAAGTGATTTAGTATCTCTTGGAGCCTTAGACACTGCATTTGTAAAATGGGGATTTAAAAAAAACCCTACCTCATAGACTTATTGTAAGGATTAAATGAAATAATGTATGTAAGGGCCTTAGCAATGTTCCTGGCACATAGTTAAGTGCTCAGTAAATACTACGTGTGCTCTTCCTTGGAAGATAATAGAATTTAAATTGTATTTGGGATTTAACTTGGAAAATTTTAGTAACGTACTCCATTGTGCCCTCTGCTAGGATTGACTCCCTATTTTTTTCTTTGATTCACCAGATTTATTGACTACCCATGTGCAAAGTGCTGTGCTAGGTACTGTTTACGCTCATCTTTTATTTAGCACACTTTACAAACTCATTATCGGAAGTTTCAGACATACACAAAAGTATGTTTGAAAAAAAGCCCCATCTCCTGGCTTTAGCAGTCATCAGCTTGTGGCCAGTCTTGTTTCATCTGCACCCCTCCCCTCCTTCCTCCGTCTAGATTATTGTGAATGAAATTCCAGACCTATTTCATTTTAGCACACTTAATTAAGAATTAATATTTTTGATGTATGTTATGTGTTTATATATGCATCTGTATATGAATATGCATAAAATCATTTATTTCCTACCTTTACCGAAAAAGCAGAAAGCAGAGTTTATGCAGAGCAAAAGCACATCGCGTTCCCATTGGAGAAGGCAGGGCAAGTGACCCCCAGTCCTCCTTTTGTCACAGCCCTAAAGATGTAAAGCAGAGGTGGTGATGCTTACCCCCAACCTTAATGCTCATCATTTTGCTTTTGTTTTCAAAATAATTTCAGCACACATTTATTGAGTGCCTCCTGGGTGTGGGCACGTTGGGCCATTTAGAAAATAAGCCCTTGACGAAGAGCTTACAGTCTATACAAGGTATGACAAGAGTAATAACTAACAGTTGAATAGAATTTTTAGTTTACAAAGCATTTTTCACATTTTCTTAAGGCATCCTTTTCAGGAAGGTGTTATCATTAGTTCCATTTGATACACCAGGAGACTTTGCCTTGTGAGTGTTAACTAACTTTACCAAGTTTTAAGACCTGGTAGGTGGCAGTCTTCAGACTTTCTGTCCAGGGGTCCTTTCTACTTCATACAGTTAACTGATGTGAGATTGTGGGGAGGAAAGGCAATGGAGCTAAAACCACAAGGTAGAAGATGAGACAAATATTGATTAGGAAGAAGAGAATTGGTAAAGGAACAGATCAGGCTTGACAGTACTAGGAGGAGGAGAGCTGGGGTCCTGGTCAGTTGGTCACTGCTTTGCCTCCTAGTGGCAATCAGAAGGGTAACCAGAGAGGAGCCTGGCCTTTCTGAGGTGACATAGACCTTTAGGAGCTGTGCTCACAAAGGGTGGCAGTGCTTGGTGGCCCAGGAAGGAGCACAGCCTTGTTTTGTCACCTACCTTATCAGCCTGGATTTGTAGGAATTGCAGTTGTGAATACAAGGGTAACGTTTTGGTTTTTTATTGCATTCATTTATTTGAATAGGTATATGAACATTGTACAAAAATCAGCAATATGAAAGAGTATCCACTGTTAGCGAGCTTTCCTCCCATCCTTACCTTTATATCTGTTTCCAAATTCCTTTGCTAAATGCTACCACTCCTGGCAGTTTCTTGAGTATCCTTCCAGAGCATTTCTCTGCAGACATAAGCATGTGTAAAACTATCCTTTTTCTAACGTCCAGGAGCACTTGAAATGGTGTATTTCCGTGAGAGTGGGTATTACCACTTTAAAAGCATGTCGGAACTCACGGGCATAGATTTGTCCCAGCTCTGCCACTTCCTAGCTTTGTGACCTTGGCTAAAATTATCTAACCTTTCTGAACTTTTTCTTATCTGTAAAATGAGGGATAGGGATGGTGACAGATACAACCTCGCAGGGTAGGTCGTGAGGCTCCAGTGAGATTGTGTGTATAAATCACAGAGCACATTTATGGCACAGTCAGAACTCCAAAAGCTCAAATGTGAGCTCTTAGATTTGGACTATTTAATTTATAAATTACGCAGAAAAGGGCAAGATGCAGAATAGTATGCTGAGGATGCCATTTGTTTGTGTATCCTTTTAAAAAAAAACCCATTTGCACACCCAGGGAAAATAGTAGCGGACAAATACGGAGAGTATCTCATGGGCCAGGCGCTGTGCTATAAATTCACTTCTTTACACGAACTAACTCATTCAGTTCATTCATGGACCCTGAGGTGGCTCTGAGGCAAGAGGACACACAGTCTGGCAGTTCCAGGATTCTAAACCAGCCTCTCAACCCTTGAGGTTGAGAAGAAAAGCAGTTAAGGGTGGTTGCTTGAGAGAGGGAGGGAGGGAGGAAGTAGGAGAGGAGGCAAGAAAGCTAGGTAGGGCACCAGCTGGGAGTGCAGAGCAGGTGGAATTAGAAAGTGGAAAGGAAGATTATTACTTCTTTTATGCAGAGTTCTTTTATAATTATTATTGAAGAAGGAAACAAAATTTAATGTTAAAACATTTTCACACTTTTGAACTGGGGGGAAAAACCTATTGTAACCATGAAAAATTTAAACAAAGGCGCTGTGACTAGCCTCATACTCATTTTTTCATGTGCATTTTCAATGATTTTTTAGGGTAAATTCCCCAAAGCCCAATCACTGGATCAAAGGGTTCAGTCTTTTTAAGGTTCCTGATACATGTTGCCATGTTACTTCCTGGAAGGATTGTGCTAGATTGTATTCCCATCGGTGGTGGATGAGTTTACCCTCCTTTCACCACATTGGATGGTATAAGTTCTTCTGATTACAAAAGTAGTGCTGTTTCAAAATTAAAATAGTACAATAATATTAAATTAAAGCAGTTCAGAAAGCCCTCCCCTCACCCCAAAGTCACATTCTCTGGGAGTAGCTGGTAATAAGTTTGGTGGTATCTTCCCAGAGCCTCGTTTACCTCCATACAAACCTATGTAGATAGTGTCTGTGCACACTTACCAGTAAATACAGTGGCATCATTGTCTGTGTACATACTGTTATGCTACTTGCTTTTTTTATGCTGTGATTTATCACAGATCTCCTTCCCTGTCGGTGTTTACAGATTGACCTCATTCTTTTTATTTTCCTCCACTGAAGCAATTTTGTCTTTTTTCCCATCGATTGACCTCATTCTTTTTAACCGTTACATCTCGTAGAACATATAGAACCATAGTTTAAGGGTTTCTCTATCAAATGAAAATCATTTACATCTATTTGTTTCACTAATACAAATAAGATCTCATTGATCTTCTTTGTACATATATGCTTGCTTACTTATACGAGTGATTCTGTAGGATAAATTTTTAAAAAGGGGTTTGCATTTAACATTGGGGAAAGGACGGTTAACACACATGCAGGTTATGCTCCCACCAACAGTGTATTTCCTGCCTCTGCGCTGGACGTTATCAGTCTTTAATTTTTGCAAATCCAATGATCTCATTTAATTTCCATTTCTCTTATCACTAGTAAGATTGGGCTTCTGTTCATGTTTTTTTCAGTCATTTATATTTTTTCTGTAAGAAATTGCCAGTTTCTATCCTTTGTGCATTTTTCTTTTGATGTTTGTCCTTTTTTTTTTTTTTTTTAAAGATTTTATTTATTCATTTGAGACACAGAGATACAGAGAGAGAGCATGAGCAGGGAGAGAGGCAGAGGGAGAAGGAGAAGCAGGCTCCTTGCTGAGCCAGGAGCCCGATGTGGGGCTCGATCCCAGGACCCTGGAATCATGACCTGAGCCGAAGGCGGCAGATGCTTAACCATCTGAGCCACCCAGGCGCCCCGATGTTTGTCCTTTTGAAATAAATTTGTAGTGAGTGATTTCTGTAATGGGGGTATTAATTCTCTGTCACTAAATGTGAATGATTTCCCAGTTTATCATTTGTCTTCTAACTCTGTTTATGGTGACTTGTGTCATGCAAAGGTTTCTCTTTTTTTTTTTTAAAGATCTATTTGTTTGAGCGAGAGAGCCCGAGAGAGCCCGTGTGCACGCACGGGGGGGGGGGGGGGGGGGGGGGGGGGGGAAGGGAGAGAATCCTCAAGCAGGACTCCCTGCTGAGTGCGGAGCCCCATCCCAGGACCCTGAAATCGTGGCTTGACCCGAGCTAAGAGTCAGCCACCCAACCAGCTGAGCCACCCAGGTGCCCCCATGCAAAGGTTTCTAATGTTTAGTCAGATCTCAGTCCTTTCCTTTATGACTTCTTAGGTGTCTTGATCCAAGATTATAAAAAATCTCCTCCATTTTCTTCTCTGTTACATTTATAGTTTGTTATTTTATGATGAGATTTTTTTTCAGATGGTATGAGGAAAGGAATCTCAGTGTTTAAAAAGTAGAGAGCCAGTTATGCCATCGTGTCTTTTCCCCACTCATTTGAAATGCTACCATTATACTCTGAATTTCCATATGCTTATGGGTCTATTTTCAACCTTGCTTTCTCTCCTGCTGATATAGGTCTCTTCCTGTGCCAGGATTTTAACTGCTGTTTCTTTACAGTATATTCTGATATCTTTTTTTTAAAAATATTCTTGTGTATTATATATTTACTCTTTCAGGAAACTGTGGGATCAACCATTTTATCAGCGTTGCATTAATTAGGTTAGTGAGAACTGACATTCTAATGTTGATCCTGTTCATCCAGAAGCATGGTGTAGCTCAGTGTTTTTGTGGGGCTTCTTTTAGATTTTTATTTCTAACTCATTTTTTGTTCGGTTATTCTTTTTATAAGTAAAGTCTGCTATTTTGATAGGTGAAAATGATATATCACTTAATTTACACTTTGATCCCAGAGAAGTCAGATTTTTCTATAGAAGTATGTTTAACTACTTATATTCTATGAATTATTTGATCATATGCTTGGTCCATTTTTCAGTTGGGGTCTTAATCTCTTACGAGCTTATAGCATAAGGATACTGATTCTTTTTCACAAATACAGCAGGTTTTTCTAGTTTATTAAAGTTTGCCTTTTAATTTTAGCACTTTTTTTGCTATGTAAGTTTGAAAATTTAATATAGTTAAATTTGTCAGTCTTTTATGATTTTTACTATTGCTGTTAAAGTCCTCTAAAATTTTACACTGAATGGTTCCATATTTAGAACCCAAAAAAAAGCCACGTGGAAAACTAGTCATGTTGGCCTGATAATGGAATCAGTTAAGTAATTTCTCTAAAGGTGTTTAAGAATGTAGTGTTACAGTGTTAGTGATTGTTTTCATTGTACAGAATATTATGTATACCACACGTATGGTATAACATGTATCAGAATGATTGAAACATTTGCTTATGATTTTTCATTTTAAAGAATTTTTAATTTGGGGCAAGTAATTCTAACAGCCCTAATGAAATTCTGTATCTTAAAAACTGTCGGTTTGAATGTTTTAAGTCGGTGTTGTGCTCTGATAGGAAATTTGCTATAATGTTAAGATCAGAAGGTATCTTTGACTTCTCTGTCTTCACAGGGAGTTAGCCACATAAATTTGTCTTGTTGCCTATAAAACGCTATCCACTTCTACCTTTTCCCCTTTTTTTCCTCTCTCAAATCCTACTGTAGTTATATGAAGTTGCATTGATATAAATTTTTATTAACTGTTTTGCAAACAGTCTGATGCTTTCAGTTCCTTGAGTTTATGTATTCAGATACACTAATTGAATTACCCTTTTCTTGTCATAATGACTATGCTTTTATTTCTAAAACAAAAAATTAAAAACCGTTGAAGTAT